GGAGCAAACCCCACTCCCTTCCAGCACTGAAGACGTGACCTAGCCGGCTAACGAAACGTCTGCAAGAAAACAACCAGGCTCAGAGAACCCCAAGGACTCCACAATACTTGTCTCGTGATATTGTTATTGTTGCTGTTGTTATTACTGTTACTACCTAAAGAACTTGGCAGTAGCATTTACTTCTTCTATATCATTTTATTACGCTGCATTGGTCAGACCACACCTGGAGTACTGTGTCCAGTTCTGGTCACCACAATACAAGGAGGGCCCTGGGGAAGTAGAAAGAGCGCAGAGAAGAGCAACAAAACGGGTGAGGGGTCGGGGTGCTAAATCCTGTGAAGATCAGTTGAAAGAGCTGGGTGTGTTTAGGCTGAAGAAGGGAAGACTAAGGGGAGGGCGCACGTCTCTTCCAATACTTGAAGGGCTGTTAGAGGGGAAAGAGCAAGGATTTATTCTCCACAGCACCCAAGGGCAAGACAAGAATGAATGGGGGGGGGTGTTTCCAAACTGATCGTGAAAGCTCTGAAGCAGGGGAACAGCCTCCCTCCTGGGGTCAGGGGAGCTCCACAACTGGAAGTTTTCAAGGCAAGACTGGACAACCGTTTGTCCAGGATGAAATGAGGACTCCTGCCCTGGACAGGGGGTAGGACTAGGTGACTTCCAAGGTACCCTCCAGCCCTAGGATTCTATGCCCACCTCTAGAGAGTAACACCAACTGGTCCTTCCAGATCTTCTGATAACTTTCTATTGGTGCTTCCTTGAAAATAATGACATTCTGTCTGGAAGAGGAAAGGGAAGGGGAAGGAAGGAGAAGGAGGAGGAGGAGGAGAAGGAGAAGGAGAAGGAGAAGGAGAAGGAGAAGGAGAAGGAGAAGGAGAAGGAGAAGGAGAAGGAGAATGTCTAACTGCCATGGGTGTGGTTTTGTTAATTGCAATCCTCCAGCATGATCGAGAAGAAAGCAGATAAACATTTTATTTATTTTTGTTATCTGCTTTTCACTATAATAGTGCTAATGCCTCCACCCCAAACCTCTCTAGCTATTTTCGTCCTTACAACAACCCTGCGAAATAGGCTAGGTTGGGAGACTGTGTGGACTGGCAAGCTGATCCTGGCTCTCCCAACAGTAGTTTCGCTCAGCATGCCAACCTCAGCCCCAGGAAGAACATCCCCCTGAGGGAGGCCACCGCTTCCAGGAGGAAAGGCCTCCCAGCTTCGTGCCGGGGATCTTTGGCTGAGGATCTGGGAAGCTCTCGGCTCTTCCCAGTCTAGGGCGTGGGTGCGTTCGGGAGGGGCTTAGCCCAGATGTGGAGACACCACCGGAGCATCTGCTGTTGCGCTGGGCTCCAGCCTGTGAGTTACGTGCTGCCCAGGTGCTCCCTCTGGGCCAATGCCCACTCATCTCTTGGCACCTGAGAGCTTCGGGAAAAAAAGCCAGTTCCCAGCCCCGCCCCCGCCTCCCCATGGCTGGCCAAAGCATGCCCCAAAGGAGACCTGCTGACGTCCCCAGCATAAGCCTCTAGTTCCTGTTAATTAATATCCCTGCAGACAGGAAGCCTCCTGCCTCTCCAGATCTATTTTCCAGAAGCCTTTGCCTTAAATGCAATAAACTGTATGGAGAGTCAGACCCGATGGTCCAGGACGTGGCGAACTGGACCAAAATAAATAAAGTTCTGCATCGCTGAGCCGCGCAGCAGGACAGCCTGCGCCGGCCACTGGGGCTCTTTAAAAAAATGTTGCAGTGCCATAATTTATATTTAAAATGTCAGGCAGCCTTTCCTTCTCCGCGTACACCTTGTCCAAGCCTCTGAATCCTCGGCTGGCTGGGAGCTGCTGCCAAGGAAAGACTTACATCGCAGCACCGAAACCTTTTTAACCACATGAATGATGGCTGTGCAAAGCCGCTGGAACTGAAGTGCCAGGAAGAGATTTTGAACGCTCTCATTTCGGCCGGCATGAACCTGAAGACGGGCTCATTTTCCAGTCTGCCTGGCTTCGAGAACTGCAAAATCAGAGTGGGTGGAACCCTTGCCAAAAAAATGAAAGTCGGGATTTAAAACATCTTGGGGGTTACGCTTGGAGGTTTATTCGTGTGTATCATTTATTTAGTCATCCCTTCAACTGACACCCCCCTTTCCATTCAACTGGACAGTCAATGCAGCAAACAACATTTCTGAAATGCCCCCCCCCCCAAAAAAACTGCAAGACCTTCTTAACTTCTCAAATAGTTAACATTTAAAGATCTGGCCAGAGAGGAAGGTTTTCCTCCCTTTCTAAAGGGAGAGGCTGAGTCTCGGTGGGTTCCGGCATCTGTCTGGTCTTGTCTGAACAACAGAGATGGACAGAATCAGGCCTGTTTAGGACTCAGGTGGGACGTCACCAGGACTTCCCGGGGCTCCAGACCAGGAAGTTAGGAAGCCAGATCTCTGAATGGCACTGGAAACCCCTCTGGAGGCCCCTTTCCAAAGGCAGCTTGGGCTGCTCCCACCCTGAGAGCAACGCAGGAGGAGGTTCCCTGGGGCACCGAGATGCAAGCATCTTTGAGCGCCCTTTTCCAAAGGAGCGGGACCAGCTCAACCCTCCTCAGGAGCAAAGCCCAGCGAGCGGAGGACAGCAGACGCCTGTCCATCTGGCAGCTCCTGCCGTTAGGAGCCACCAGCCGTGGCCTTTCAGCCTGAGATCTGCCCCACAGGGACCTCCTGCCTGGCCTCCACTGCCATCCAAGAAGCGCCCCGCCCTGCAAGGCAAGGAGCAAAAGGGAAATTGTGCCCCTTCAGGGAACTCAAGATGGCCAAGAACAAGCTGAAATATGAATTCTTGAAAAAAACCCTGTTAGAATAGTAATAAATTCAGGCATAATAAGGCAGAAGGGGAGCATAGTTGAGTTAGAAAACAAAATAACTATCAAAAAATAATCCGAGCAGACCACTAGGACAAAGGGGTCTTGTGGGGCTAAAAAGATCAAGATGGCTTTGGTCAGTGGCAACGGCCATCTTGGATCCCCACCCCACCCCGAGACCAATTAGCAAGGCAGCAAATGAACGAAGGCACCCTGGGTCCAATCCTCAGAGACCCCCTTTGCATAAGCGACCCACCAGCCCCCTCCCCACATTTCCTCTGGCAACACGCACGCGGCACGCTTAATCGGCTGAGCTAAAGACCTCAGGGCCGCGTGCGCAGAGCTGAGGAAGGGTGAGCCTCGGTTAGACCGTGCTTTGCAATCGAGCGTGTGGTGCAAACACACTCAGTGGATTGATGGTCCAACGGAAACGCCTGTCCTCTTTGGCAGAACCGCTGAGCAGAGCCTGCTTGCACACTTGGGTGCTGTGTGCAATTGTGCGTGCACTACTGTGACCTTGTAGGCATAGATGTCCAGTACAAGCCACAATGACATCTTGCGCATCATGTTATCACAAAATGATGCAAATTACACAATTTGCAGTGATGTTGTGATACACACATCTCACACACACATCCCCCCCCCCAAATGCCCAGGGTCTCCTTTCAAAAGGCACCTGAGAAATTTGAGTGGGCCGGGCAACGTATCATGGCTTGATCTCGGCCTAGCGAAGAGTGTTGTGTGAATGTAGTCACACGGGGAGAAGCCTTAGGGAGCTGTCGTGGTTGTAAACTTTATGGCCATTGTACCTCGTACAACGAAATTAAATGCCATCCCCAGTGCACCTTATAGATATAAGGTCAGAGGAGCTCAACTTTTTCTGAGTTGACTTCTTCACATGTGCAAAAGGCGGTTTATTGCAGGAAACGATTCTAATGCTAGGTTAAATGAAGTTAGGCGCTCTTAAGGACACGAGAGTCCGAGTCCTTCTTTCTGCCCCCCCCCGCCATTTTTA